CAAACTCAGCTCTCTCTTACGCGGAACGATTCAAAGCCTCTTTGAGGAATCTCAGAAAAATGGATCCTCCTTCTTTCCAAGAGGATGGGTTACCAGTTGTCCAAGCTCCTGCGTTGGTTATTCTCCAGACCTCTGAAATGTGGAAGGACCATGTCATCGCTCATTTCCACGGTCTTTTTCCTCCTTCATCGGTGGTCTTCATGGACCTTAATCCTATCTGGGGAAAACATGGGAACATCTCCATGAGGAAAATCTCCATGAGGAAAATCTCTGACCGCGCCTTTCTCATTCTCATTCCCTTGGTTCCAACTAGAGAATGGGTCCTTCAAGTCGGCTTCTGGAATGCAGGAAACTGCTCTTTTGTTGTCTCCCCATAGTCTGATTCGGCACCTCTAGCTCTTCCAGAACTGACCTCCGCTCCGACATGGACTGTGTTTCGTAATGTGCCACCCATGCTCTACTCACTCGACGGAATCAGTACCATAGCTAGCGCCATTGGAGACCCGCTTCACACAGAAAACTCAAGACTCGACTCAGTCAATATAGAGATTACAAAAGTCAAGGTGGAAATCATGCTTGACAGTTCCCCTCCCTCAGCTGTTATTGTTTGCGATACTCAGGATAACACGGCAAGAGTGGAGGTTGTCTACCTCGCCTTCCTCCAAAGTGCCTTAATTGCAACAAATTTGGGCACCTCTTAAACCGCTGTCCCATTCCCCTAACCAAGAAAGCTCCTCCTAGGAAATCGGCTCCAAAGAAGGCTGCTTCTCCAGTTGTCCCTCCCGTGGTGCCTATTGAATTATCTTCTGAGGTTTCTATGGTCACTCAGCCTGAGGATCCTCTGCTGGACCCTCAATCAGTCTCTAAGAAAACGGCAGCTCGGGCCAGATCAATATCCAGAGCTAAATCAAGATCTCGGGCTCTTAGCACTCCTCTTATTACCTCTGAGATCACCGCTGCTACGTCTACTCATAGCCAGGACCTCCCTGATACTGTCTGCTCTCCCAAAACGCCGATAGAGGGTGTTAAAAAATCCTACTCTGAGGTTCTTTCATCTCTGCCTGTTGCGAACTCTCCAATCAAAGCACCTAAGGCTCCGATAGCTCGGGAAGACTCTGACCCCAGGCATCGTATTTCTCTTCCAGCATCAGTCCAAATGATTTTTTCTGAACTTGACTTTCTTTCCAACAAGGCCAGAAAGAAAGCCAAGAACCTCATTTTGTCGGCTCTCCGCTTTCAGTCAAAAGAAGATGACTCTCCGCAGACAGACACCCAAGCAAGAGGTCGCCTCTTGTCGAGGGATTTGTCTGACTGTTAACTCGCCGCCTTTCCCCTCTTGTATATAAGGAATGTCTTCTGCTGGAATGTTTGTTGTTTAAATAGCATCTCAAGGCAGCATGTAGTTAGGCGCTGGGTTTTTTCTAATAAAGTTTTGATTGGAGGAGTTTTGGAGACTCGTGTCAAGGTGGATAGCTCGGCTGATATTTTAGCTGCGACCTTCCCTGGCTGGAGACTTGAGAACAATTACGAGCACTCTGATAATGGGAGAATTTAGATAGTCTAGGATCCTTCCATCTTAGTTATTACTTTCTCCAAGTCCTCCCAACTCATCCTTTGTGGGGTTTTTATTCATGTTTCAAATATATCTTTTTCCCTGGCAATTGTCTATGCTCATAACACAGTTGCCGAGCGTAAGCTTCTGTGGGCTGAGATCACTCATCTTTCTACCAACTCTCCAGCTTGATTTCGCCCCTGGATCATTGCAGGGGATTTCAACCAGATCGCGTCTTCTTCTAAGCACTTCTCGGTTATCCCTTCTACTTTTTCTCTCTCAGTTATCAATGATCTCCAAGATTGCCTGCAGTCCAATGAGTTGAGGGATCTTCAGAGCCGAAGTGCCTTTTAAATTTGGTTTAATCTCAGACCAGAGCACCCAATCCTCAGGAAGCTGGATCGGGTTCTTGTTAATAGCGAAAGGGACTCCTCCTTCCCGGAATCTGTTGCTGTTTTTGACCCTCCAGGTGACTCAGACCATTCTCCAAGACTCATATCACTTAACTCTGCCCTTCCGGTTATCAAGAAGAGTTTTAAGTACTTCTCTTTCCTCGCTACTCATCCAAAATTCATTGAGAGTATTGAAAAAGCTTAGAACTCTCCTACGAAGGTCGGTTGTGTTATGTTCTCTCTCGGCCAACGGATGAACTCCATCAAAGCATGTTGCAGAAATATCAACAAAGAAGTATTTGCCAATATCCAACAAAAAACAAAAGATGCTCTCCTTCACCTGGAAGAAATTCAGGCCTCTCTCCTCTCCAATCCATCTCCAGCTTTATTTCAAGAAGAAATCGACGCCAGGAAAATTTGGAACTTCTTCGCCGATGCTCAAGAATCGTTCTACCGCCAAAAATCTAGGATTCGCTGACTCAAGGACGGGGATGCAAACACAGCTTTCTTCCATAAGGCTGTGATTGCACACCAAGCCAGGAACTCGATCAAATATCTCAGGGATTCTCATGGCTCCAAGATTGAGAATGTCGACCAAATAAAAGACATGATCATCACTTTTTATCATCAGCTTATGGGGTCTGAAGCTCGAGTCATCCAGCCCCTCCCTGTAGAGTCCATTAGCAGGTTACATCCTTACCGTTGCTCCTCTGATTTGGCTCAGTCTTTGACTCGTATTCCTTCTGACAAAGAGATTGTAGCTACATTATTCTCTATGCCAAAGAATAAGGCTCCCAGGCCGGATGGATTCCCGGTGGAATTCTTTTTGGATGCTTGACCGATTGTTGGAGAGAGTTCTTCACGGCTGGGTTTTTACTGAAAAATTTAACACCACTATTATTGCTCTGCTCCCAAAGATTCTGGGTGCTGTGATAACACCGTATTTGTACCCATTTTCACCATTGATTTCAAATGTTTTTTCAAAGGTTTTAATCAGTTTTAGGAACTTTTATTATGATTTCTATGTATTTGTAGTTTCAAGGCTCTTTTTTGGAAACTTAGGGAGAATGATGACAAAATGAAAGAAATCCACATTTTTAGCTCAGAGTCAGACCGTCAGAAGTTCAGCCTGCTTTTTCACTGTCTTACCCAGCTCAAATTTGGAGACAATCAAGAGGAGACAACGTACGAGCTTTCCATAGCACATTACATTACAAATATCCAACGGTGCAATCAAAAGATACATGGAGAACAAGTTGACTAAATTCACCGTCCCCGGAAGACTCTCACCCGCGGTAAACATACATTTTACCTGCCCTGGAAGACTCTCACCCCCAGTGGACCTAATGACGAGCCACAAGGCCCAACATCAAAGCCCACTTTGCCATTTCTCTGCAGAGAAGCCCTAAATGAGACCTGGAAGACCCTATGACCTATAAATACATTTCTTAGCAGTCCTAAACGGGTGTGTGCTCTTGTAATGAGATTTTGAGCCACCAAACTTTGTTTTTCTAGGGTTAGGCGATGGAGAAGGGGATTCTTCCCTGGATCCATTGTTCTTTCTCCTGTTTATCTAATTAGTTTTTCTGCTTCATCTTATGCATTCTTTCATGTCTTTTATCATTCATTGCATCATGTTAGATTAGTCCCAAAGAATCAAGTTTCTAAAGAGTCATCGATAGACATATATGTTCGATTTGGATTTCTAAGTTTCTAAACCATAGTCTGGATCTCATCTCTTTTAAATTGTTCATACTGCATGTGATTAGATTCATGAACTATTCTCTGAGCCTAGGATCGATCAAAGCCATGAGAGTGCTGTATCAGATCATCCATACCTAGCTTCAGAAGAACATAGTTGCTACAGGAGTCGAGAGCTACCTGTAGAGAAGATGTGAGCAAACAAATTCAATATTTAATGCATGATCTTATTCCTGGCATGAGAGCAAGAGTTAATTGTTAGATTTAGTGATTAGTTGATTAAGATGGCGAGAGTTGGTTAATCATACACATGTCTATTCTAGTTCCATGTAGATCCTAGAAGATAGATAAGGATAAATCGCTCGGAAGCTAATTGAAAATGTTTTGACATCGATTAGAGTAAACCGGAGAAGTCTAAATCGCCCACTATTTTCTCAGGCGATGGATGTTCTATCAAAGATGCTCGATAAAGGTGCAGCTGATAATGTTTTTTAGCCTCACCCTGACTGCTATGCTCCCCTAGTTACTCATCTAAGTTTTGCAGATGATATACTTATATTCTTTGATGGTTCTGTAGATTTTCTTAGTGGTATTCTTTCTATATTGGAGGACTTTCGTAAAATCTCGGGTCTTGGTATAAATAAGGAGAAATCCTTTATGTTCTTGGATGGTGCTAACTTGCAGGATTCTCGGGATCTTTGTGCAAGACATGGATTATCTCAAGGTTCTTTCCCGGTTAGATACCTCGGCGTTCTTATCACTACCAAGAAGATGACCAAGCATGATTATCAACCCCTAGTGGAGAAGATCGCGAAACGTTTCTCATCTTGGACAGTTAGGCATCTGTCTTTCGCGGGAAGGCTCCAACTTATTAACTCGGTTATCTACTCAACCATCAACTTTTGGTCTTCCATTTTCATCCTTCCAAATCAGTGCATCACATTCCTTGAGCAATTGTGCAACGCATTTCTCTGGAAAGGAGATACTACTTCTGCTAGAGAAGAAAAAATTTCATGGGATTCCGTCTGTACCCCAAATGAGAGTGGGGGTTTAGGATTGAGAAAGCTTCATGAACGGAACAAAGTGATGGGTTTAAAGCTCATATGGCTTATTTTTACTTTGGCGGGCTCTCTGTGGGTATCTTGGGTTTGAATAAACCTTATTCAGGCGGGTAACTTTTGGTCTACTGATCTCAACTCTGGTAGCTGGATATGGAAGCAGCTCCTCAAACTCAGGCACTTGGCCCATCCTTTTCTTTATTGTGAGCTTGGCTCGGGAATGACTGCAAGTTTTTGGCAGGATAATTGGTCTTCCCTCGGTCCCCTAATTGACATTACTGGTCCCACTGGTCCCCGATGCTCTGGTTACCCATCTCTGGAGTGGTCTCGGACACGATCAATGGGGGTTCTTGGTGGATTGATGGAACAAGGAGCAGAAACCCGATCATCTCCTTGCTCCGTCAATGCCTTCCATCATCTACCCCCATTGCTCTCTCCTCTTCTGATGACTCCTACAGATGGAAAATAGGCACTGATGTCATCCCCAAAGACTTCTTCTCGTCATCCGTTACTTGGCACGCTTTACACCCGTGGGGTCCTCCTGTTGGTTGGGCTAAAGCGGTTTGGTTCAAAAGCCGTATTCCAAAGCATGCATTCCTCTGTTGGGTTTCTGCTAGGAATCATATGCATACTAGAGACAGACTGAGACTTTGGGGCATTGCAGTTCCTCCTGGATGTCTCATGTGTGATGCGGCGGATGAGACTGGTCAACACATCTTCTTCGATTGTGCTTTCAGCCATGAAATATGGCACACTTTCAACTCTGCAGCTAATGTCACTCCTCCAACGGACTTCGACCTATGCCTGCTTTGGCTTAAGTCTCCTTCTCGCGATGCTAACAAGTCTCTGATTTTAAGACTTGCATTTCAGGCCTCCTTATACGGGATTTGGAGGGAAAGAAACGCAAGACTTCATAACGCCTCATCCACACCGGCTTCTACAATTATTACAGAAATCAAGAAAAGGATTCGCTGTAGACTGGATCCGCTGTCGAGTGCTCAACCTAACACTCCTTCATCTGTCTCTTTTCTAGCTTCTTGGTTCTCTAAGTTTTCAACTAGTTGTCCCTCTCGCTCTTTAGGCTAGCTTAGCTATTCCTTCATTTTTGGTATGCAGATCATAGTGATTGATCTGAGAAATCGAGCTGTAACCCCGTTGGGGACGATGTATTCCTCCCTTTAATTAAGGAAAAATGATAGCTAGTTACATGAACTATACATCATCACATGACCACACATACAAACTATATTAATGCATCGCTAACTACATGAACTATATGATCTACCATAGCGACATGTATGATTAACAAAATTATGTGGTTAACATCATAGGCATCTCTGGAATTAATGAAACAGTATACCGGAGGAATGATTCCGGCACAGTATAAATTTATGTATCACAAACGACACGACTATATAATTAATATACTAAGAACTATATGATGTATAATTAATATATCTAAAACTACACAATGTATAATTAATGTATCCAGAACTACATGACAATATTATATTTAGTTGAATGCAACACCAAAACTACACGATGTTTGGTCCATAACTAATTGTTTTGTAATAATTTTGTGATGATTTTCATACGAAACTTTGTTGAAATTATAGTATGAGAAAAACACGCATATTAAGAAAACAAATTAAATTTGACTATTAAATATATCATTTTTGTGATTAGCAATTTTCTGAGTTAAAATACATAAATATTTTGCCTCCAAATTGTAAAAAATAAAATTAAATAATCAATATTTTTATTAATTTTTTCTGGCCTCATAATTCTAAGGACCGACCTGTTAGTGATTTTTTGTTTGGTGATAAAATATTGTGACATAATTGTTACCATTTTATATATATGCAAAGATTAAAATAACATGTGAATTAACAAAATAAATAAGAGAATGACTGTAATTATGGAAACATTCGAGGTCAGATGCTACTTTTTCTTCTTCTATTATGCATAAAATTTTTTTAAAAAAATTAAGGGACGATATAGATGGTTTCCAGTGATTTCACATTAGCTGCTTGAAATTATCTGTGATTTCACTTATTATTTGTGTTTTTGTTGTGTTACTAATTGCTTTTATGCATATTGTCTAGAAAGCTTTCATCTTGTCTGTTAAATACCAATGCTGAGTCTTTTGTCCACCAAATGTTGGTTGTGATTCCTGAATGAGTTTCAACTGTTCATGACTTTATAAAATAGTAAGACTTCTTGACTTCATTTACATTTTAAATTGGTGATTGTTGTAGGATCAGATCTATTATTCGTAGATGGGTTCTAGATTACTTTTTATGTATAGCATTCTCAAACTCGTATCAACTGATTTTTAGTTTTTTTTTTGTGGTTTATATGTCATGATTACTGTTTATGTATAGCATTGTTAATTGGTGTTGCATTCAGCTACATATAATATTATCGTTTAGTTCTGTATACACTATATAATTATATATTGTGTAGTTTTGGATACATTAATTATATATTTTGTAGTTTTTGGTATATTAATTAAATAGTCGAATATTTTTTGATACATAAATTTATACTGGGTAGGAATCATTTATCCGATACACTGTTCTGTTAACTCCTGAGATGCCTATGATGTTAATCACATAATTTTTGTTAATTCATACATGTCGCTATGGTAGATCATATAGTTCGTGTAGGTAGCAATGCATTAATATAGTCTGCATATGTGACTATGTGATGAAGTATAGTTGGTGTAGCTAAGTATCATTTTTCTTTTAATTAATGAAATGGTAATTCAGTAAAAAAAAAAAAAAGTTGTGACTGTGAATGTTTCATTCTTATTTCGAATTATAAGGCTGGATAATATTCTGATTATATTAGGTTTGAATTGTCTCATTGTCGCTTCAAAGTCAACTTCAATGTTTCTTATGATTCTTCTCTGGTTACTAGATCTGCTTCGCTTGTTTGTTTTTGTAGTTATTTGAATATATAGGTTTTGAATATTTCATTACGACTTGGGTTTGATTTCCTGTGCTCTAATGTTATTGATGTTGGGAAACCTACATGATTTTTTTTTTTATCTCTTTCTGTGAGTAATTAGTGAACTTCTAAGAGATTTCAAACCATGGTTGCACCAAGGCTAAATATCACTAAGGATGAATGTGAATACCTCATGATTATGAAGGGTAAATATAAATATAAACGTGAAAAAATTAATACATTATTTAAGGTCTTGGAAAAACTCAAAAGCTTGATGGTATATTCTATGATTGGTTTTTCTCTAAATTATTTCAGTTTATGTCCACATAGAATATTGATTTTATTGTTTAGCTGGTCTCATCTCATACTTTGTCTCGTTCCTCTTGGCTGATGTTGGGAGATTTTAACAAGGTTCTATCATCTGATGAGTTATTCTTTGTTCACCCGTTTGCAGTCACTCATCAAGATATGTTAAATTCCATAACTGTCTCGCCATTAGCTAGTTGAATGATATGCTAAACCGTGATGTTTTCTCATTTGGAAAAACTGTCATCTTTGAATCCTATCGTAAGAAAACTCGATAGAGCTCCTTGCAATGAACTTTGGCTGGATAAATTCCTCTCTCTTTGATGCTTCTGGACCTTCAGATATCCCTACATAGTCTCTCTGTCTCAAACTTCAGTATATATCTCCATTTAGTACCTTCACTTTTCAATCTAGTTATTTATCTGATTTCCAATATTATGTTAACGGAGAAGATTTAAGTATCTCTGGCTTTGCTAAGACCAGACTAGGCTTTGTAAGCGTCTTAGACCTGCAAATTCTACTATAAATCTCTCAATCTTTCAAGCTTTCACAATATTCAGCAACGATCAAAAGAAGCCTTGAAAATTTGGAAATGGCTCATAAGCAAATTCGTAAACTCCCTCTCCCTAAAACTTTTTGGCTGCGCAAGACTGAATCTATAGCTCCTTCTTATTGAATGGTAAACAGGCTCATTCACGCCATTGGTAACGGACTATCAGACCAGAAATGAGCCTGTTTACCATCTCTAATGTTAACCATGAGCACGTGTTTTAGGAGCAGACTGGCCTTAAGCTATGCTTAAGAGTCTTTTTATTGTGTAAACTTGAAAGGCATTTGTTATATTAAACTATTCAGAATTACAAGCATTTATCTTTCCTATTTTTCATCTATTCCTTCGAATCAACGAGCTTCAAGCTCTCTCTTTGTTCAGCTATATTTTGAATTAAAGAACATCGAGTTATTACGCTTAAGCTATGCCACTTGGTCAATGTGATTTAAAGTTCAATTTGATGTTTGGTAAGAAATATAAGTACGATATTTGCTTTTGGAATAAGGTCAGAACTCCTTGGAAAACAACTATGATCACAACCTAACAAACAAAAGGAGGAAAATGTATCGGTCAAATGATCCATGAACCACACTTCTCCTCGACCATAGTAGTGTGTGTGTGTGTAGTGTGCTTGGACAAGCGAAGTTTTTAGTAAAAGTTGTCCTTCTATTGGAAAGTCACCATCTATTTTTCCGCACCGCACATTTTTTAGCTTTTTTCTTTTCCAAATGTTAACAAAAGTAGTTATAGAGATTGGCTTATACGGTTATACCTAATCTGGATTCGGGTATAACTAACCATGTTTTTGGTTTAGGGGTTGTCGAACTAAGGAGACTGATGGTTGTGTTGTTTGCTTTCAATAATAGTGAGTAATCGAGTATGATAACACCGTCTTTTTATTGATCCAGTCGCTGGAATCGATTTACGTGCTAGCCTTTCTATGGTTATAAAAAATGTTCATTCTGATTTTTTTTTTTCTTGGATGTATGTTAAATTGTATATAACGTTTTTACATGAGACATGTGATCCTGATAGTTATAGTCCGTAAGTTATTACATATGAATCAACTTTCCTACAGCTACCAGATTGCGAGACACTAAGAGGCTGGTCTTGAGGCCAGCCAAAGTTGTAGTCCGTCGTCGTAACAACTATCCCCAAGAAGACGAATAGCATTGAACCGATTCCTGAGTCCTTTGTCAATTTCCTTTATTAGTTTCAACGCTGGTGAAGGGTTTCCTCCATGCCTTCTCTCATTCCTTTCTCTCCATAGCAAGTAGATAGTAGACTGGAACAGGTAGCGAATGATAAACGTGTGTAATCTGGTTTCATAGGGTGATGAAATCAGATTAAGCAGCAATGTCCAATTTGATGAGAAATCCTGTCGCAGAAGATCTTGTGCTACATTGTTCCACACTTGTATCGAAAAGGAACAAGCGAAGAACAAATGGCTGTAGGTTTCTAAATGCTGATTGCAGAGAACACAAGCTGTAGGAATATTTCCGTTCCAGTATGACATCCTATCCCCTGTACTTAGTCTGTTTTGCAGAGCAAGCCAGGTGATGAAGCTATATTTAGGGTTGTGGTGTATAAACCATATCCCCTTTGCCCAAGGAACCTTCGGAGAAGAAGATCTAATCAAATCCCGAGTAGCTCTGGTACTAAAAGAAGCTTTGTAAACATCATCTTTCACACGCCATAGGTATGAATCCTCTAAATTCGGTTGGATACTAGCTTTAGCAGTCTCAATTGCATCTTCGATTTGGTTTAATATCGAAAGCCTGTGTCGTCGTCTTCGATGAGTATTAAAGACGTCGCGAAGTGTGGAGGCGACATCAATACCCAGATCAATGAACCCCCGATCTCCAAGCAATGCCTTTAAATCCCCCATCGGTGACCATCTATCGTGCCAAAACAGAGCTCTTGCACTGTTTCCCAATTCTATCTTTAGGAAAGATGCATCCTTATCCTTGACTTTTAAGATTTGTTTCCAAACACATGAACTCAAGTTATAGCTAGAACCCGATGCAGGAGTTAACCATATCGAACCATGCCTCATGCGATTTGAAGTTACCCATTGAACCCAGAGTGAATCCCTTGCCGTTGTGGCTCGCCAGAACAGCTTGAGAATCGCAACCTCATTAGCTTCTCTTAGATTTTTCAGCCCCAAACCTCCTTCATCCCTTGGTCGACAAACATCCTTCCAAGCTACCTTTGCCTTTCTTGGATTTAAAGCCGGCCCAGACCAGAGGAAAGCAGAACAGATGCTTTCGATTTTCTCAACGCATTCATTTGGCAACCAGAACACCGCATCCAGAAATTCGTAAGGCTTGCTATCACCGAAGATAACAACTGCAGGCGACCTGCAAAAGATATACTTCTGGCCGTCCAAGACGTCACCTTGCGATTTATCTTGTCGATCAATGGAGTGTAATCGAGAGACCTCATTTTCTTTGTCAAAAGCAGCAGGCCTAAATAACGAACCGGAAGAGACCCAAATTCGTATGCGAATCGCTGGGAAATGTTATCTCTCACCGTCTGTGACACCCCAGCCAAATAGATCGTGGACTTTTCCTCACTTATACAAAGCCCCGACATTCGAGCAAATTCATCAAAGACCGTCTTAATCCCCTCTATTGATCGCAAGGTACCGTCCGAGAAGATCATGAGATCGTCCACAAAACAAAGATGAGTAAGCTTCATATTCGAACATTTTGGATGATACCCAAATCGCTCCTGTATTACTACCTTATCCAGCAATCTAGACAGAACTTCCATACATATAACAAAGAGATAAGGTGACAATGAACATCCTTGTCGTAATCCTCTCGAACTCTCGAAATACCCAGCCAACTCTCCATTAACTTGAACTGAAAACGACGCTGTGGTTACGCACAGTCGAATCCAATGAATGAATGCCAAGGAAAAATTCAAAGCCTCCAGAATATTGAGCAGGAAATCCCATTGAACAGTACCGAAAGCTTTCGATATGTCAATCTTGATAGCGCACCTAGAAGAAATCGTGTTTAGGTGATACCCTGAAACCAACTCAGAAGCTAAAAGGACGTTTTCAATGAGAAGACGATCCTTGACGAATGTCGTTTGATTTGGAGATATGAAACTCGGCAGCAACTTCCGCAATCTATTGGCCAATATTTTCGATATCAGCTTATAAATTACATTGCAGCACGCAATCGGACGATAGTCCTTCATCAGCTTTGCCCCTTCTTTCTTTGGGATGAGCGCAAGTATAGTCGAATTAACTCCCTTCGGTAAGAATCCTTTAACAAAAAAGGATTGAACTCCACTTACCAGATCCTTGCCAATAATCGACCAACTTTCTTTAAAAAATTCGACTGTGTATCCATCCGGTCCAAGGGATTTGTTCAGAGCCATCGCAAATAAGACATCTTTGATTTCCGCTTCTGTTACGTCTGATATTAGAGCCTGTCTATCCGCTTCCGAGCAACGAAAATCAATAAGTTCACCAATTTATGCTGCAGATGTGGCTTGTAAATCAGTTGGACAAGCATTTAAGAATGTCTCAAAATGTTTTACAGCCTCCAATTTTATTTCTTCTTTGCTATGAATCAGAGTACCCTCATTAGTCTCCAGCTCCTTTATTCCATTCCTCACCTCTCTGATTTTCACAGCTCTATGGAATACTTTTCAATTGCGATCTCCATTATTTAACCAGCTGATTTTTGCCTTTTGCATCAGATATCTTTCCTCTATATGCGCAGATTGCTCCCATCGTATATAGGCATCGTTTTACTCTTGCTGCAGAGCTAAACTCGGCGCTTGCAGATTGCTCTCTGCTTCTCACACAGGGACTCGAAATTCTCTTTGACTCTCTTATAAATATCACTCAACATGTCTCGGGAGATACTTCTAACCAGCGGCTTTAGATTCTTTAGTTTTTTCAAAAATCTAAACAGAGCTGATGTGGAGACAAACAGAGGAGTTGTCTCATCCTAATATTCCTGCAATGCTGCTTTAAAACGAGGCGTAGATGCAATGACATTCGAGAACTTGAATGGCCGCTTTGGTTTTGTGATTTCTCCATCCACATAAAATCGCCATCTTAGATTATCAGAGCATCCTCCAGATTCAAATACGCAATATGAATTTGGGTAATCGTTCAACCAATTCTCATTCACTAGTACCCTATCCAGATTCTTACATATCAATCCATCCTCCCTCTTGTTGCTCCAGGTAAAAAGAGGACCATGAAATCCCATGTCATTAAGATCCCCATCTCTAACAAGCTCTTGAAAATCCCTCATACCATTCGTTTCAGTCGAAGACGGATCTGAATATTCCTCAGTCGAAAGAGTCTCATTATAATCCCCCATAATAATCCAGCGTTTATTCCAGTATATTGGCGATATATAATGGCTTCGTACATCCTCCCACAAGACTCTCCTATCATCCGTGAAATTAGATCCATAAATGAATGAACACAAGAATTCGTCCTCATCGCCAAGCTTCTTTACTAGCACCGTGATCATTTGATCACTCTTAAAGACTGGTGTAATTCGAACTGTCTCACACCAAACCACCCAAATCCTCCCCAGCCGATGATGTTCGTAATTGCTCATGAACGACCATCCTGGAAACATCTCAGTAACAATATCCATCGCCTTACCTTCTTTAACCCGAGTCTCGATCACACCCCCAAAAAGAAAATCGTTTTCACGACACCAGCTCTTTACAATTTTTTGTTTTCTGTTTTTGTTAATACCTCTAATGTTCCAGAAGAATCCAGACATTAATGATTTTTTTTTTTACTTGGTTTACTCTTTTTCTTCTTGCCCGAGCCCTGTGTAGAAGTCGGATTTGAAGCAGCATGTAGGTATCGATGCGAAGATTTAGATCCTCGAGGTAATAAAACTCTTCCACCCGGTGGCGGTTTTCCCAGTTCCCGGTGGCTTATTTCTCCGTCTTCCTTCCCCTGCAACTGATCATCAGCCTCACACTCTGTATTTTCATCTATTTCTCCTTCCTCAATTTCCTCCAGCTCATTTTCACTCACTAGAGAAGTGAACCGAGAAGGGGAAATAACCTCATCTGCCTCCAACTGTTTATCTTTTCCTGCCTTATTCCTTGGCTTAGCAGGTGATTTCACCTTTTCCCACTCCTCCGTTTCTTGAGTTTTCGAAACCTCTGTTCTCTGCCCCGACACTTTCGATCTTTTCTCCTCTGCTTTCTTTGACGAGGGTCCAACTGTTTTTTCCTGCCTATCTTCTGATATCTCCTGCTCCCGATGCTCCGCAGTCTTAACAGGTGATGTCAGCACCGGTGGTATAGTCTCTTCCTCCCGATGAACTACCACAGCCTCCGCTTTTGACCCAGATTGGTTTATCCCATTTTCTTTCCCTGCTGCATTGGATAAAGAATCTCGTCTGAGAATTAACTTATCCCCAGGGGTGGCCCTACATTCCGCTGATACATGTCCCCACTTTGCACAAGCCAAACATCTTGGAGGCAACCACGGGAACTCATAGTATACGACTATATCGACACCCTTACTGGATTTGAAACTGAAAGCTTCCGGAAGATTTTGTTCCAAATTTACCTCCACAAACACTCTCGCTTCATCAAAACTTTTTGCCCACAAAGTATCTGAGTGCAGCTGTTTTGGCTCTCCCAACGGACTTGTTAGGAAGCTTAATCCCTTCCATGAGTACATGGATCGAGGGACATTTCGTACTACAACCCACATCGGGATAGACTTCACCTCCGGCTGCGCTTCTTCAACGATTGGCCTCCATTTGGATACTATCATTGGAGTGTTTTTAATACTCCACATTCCTCTTGCTCTTATCGATGCATCAGGAATTTTGAATTTAATCGTCGTGTCATCGACCACAAACACGTCAACTTTGATCGATTTGTTTCCTATCGTCCAGATCTTATTCACGGTCATGTGTACCATCGCCACATGAGGAGCCTTCGACACAAACTTCCCAACGATGCAATCCTCCCATAGCGGAGGAGTGTTCTCGAAAACACTGTCCGGAACATGAATAGTTTCCACTCTGTTAATGTCTTCCACTTCAACAACATATTTCTGCAATCCCGATCTCGGAGCAGCTACCGATGCCCATGATTTTCCCGAACGATCCTCCTTCACAGCGTTCTCCTCTTTTCCTGAGTTCGATCTACTATCGTGATCACCACCAACAGTAGACAGAAGACTTAGAAGCTCTTCTGACTCCTTTATCACCTCCGACGAACCCTCCTTCACCTCCTCCAACGAAGTATCCTTTCCCTGCCCTAACTCCTCACCTGACTTTACACCAACTTTTATCGAACTCCCCAATTCCCGATCCTTCCCCGAAGCTCCATCAACATCATCGCCGCCCTTCTGAATCACCGGAGCGCTCTCCTCCGGCTGAGGAACCGTCGGAATTAGCGCCGCCATGCCCTAGCTTGGGCAGTACTCCTCCGAAAACCCTAGAAGCTTTGTCTCCTTTCTGATCGCCTCCCTGCTGATATTATAGCAGTTCTAACTAGACTTAAAAAAAAAAAAAAAAAAAAAAAAAAAGAAAGAAAGAAAGAAAGAAAGAAAGAAAGAAAAGAAGAGGAGAATTATCTCTAAAATCATTTTCTCAGTTTTAGAAAGCAGAGGAAAAAAAATATATCCATGCATTCCGGCCAGATTAGTAGCCAACTATTATCTCTAAAATCATTTTCTCAGTTTTTCCAGAAACAAAGTTAGACAAAAAGACTATCCCTATGTGGCTAAATTGTTATCAAATCCCAAGAAAAGAATTTAGAAAAATCACACTTTTGTGGTTATATTAATTTCATTATGTGTGCAGAGATCAGTGGTTAACTGAAATTTAAAGTAACTTAATAAACAAATTACAAACGAGTGAAGTTGGAAGGTTCGTATTAAACTATCACTATTTCAAATAGTCTTTTCATATATTGTTGTTTGAAACCAAAAATATATATCTATATATTTGACATAACTAGTATAGAACAATTTTGTTTCAATAAATCATCATTCTAAAAAAAGTTGAAATTAAAGTGTGTATTAACGTGTAAAGTTCATATAATTTTCTCATATCACTTCCCAACCTAACACAATGTCCTATATGCATTTTTTTTTTCAAATCCTCCAACTTCATATCATTGTATTGATATTTCTTTTTTAAAAAGTTTACCTAATTTATAACCAATTATTGTACTTGAGTCATATAAATAATAATATACACACATTTTTTACAAACTTTTATGTCATATAATCGGCTGCTCATATTCGTCTATATAACTGCATGCGGTTCAGTTAGTAATAATTATTTGATATGAATGGTATGTAAGTTTTTCATGTTTTCACGCTATGAAAAAAAAATTGTGTAAAGTATATATCATTCATAGTAAAAGGCACATACCAATAAGACATGAAAACTAATAAATAATTCTTAATCTTTCCATCAGATACTTTAAATGAGAAAGTAGTTTAATATTGAGATTTCTGAACAATCATGTTTTTGCCATAGAATTCAACACGACACACGGATTCAAAGACGGTGATGATAGGACATTCAGTCACATCAGTTTAAATTTCAGTACTCTCTCACGTCAAATGTTCAAAAAGCGGCCGTGTATTACAACAACGGTAATCTGATCCGAATACTTTTGGATTACGATGGACTCAACGAAAAATGCTAAACTTAATGTTTACGCTGCGAACTTGAAATCTAGACCCATAAGGCCTTTGATCTTGCAACCAGTTTTGTTGTGTTGCAGTCGTGCAAGAAGACATGTATGTCGGATTTATGGCAGTAGCACAGGCTGATAAATCAAGTGCTCATGATGGGTTAACATCCAGTGGCAGCTATATATACTGAAACGCTCAAGGATTCCTTGTCCGCCTTCGAATACGGTGAAGTAAAGAGGTTACAATTCTTAGGTTATTGCTACCAGCGGAGCCAGAAATTTTATTCACTGAAGGCAAATGGGGATATATATAATATTATGAATGGGGACATTGATATTAAACTTTAAAAAATTATACTGATTTTCAATTTCATTGGGGGCAAATGATCCCACCTTACTTGATGTCGCTCCGCCACTTATTGCTCTAATGGTGGCTCTATCAACATTTTGAATTACAAAAGAATATATGAAACTGATGACAAGTTGACCTAGTGGTTAAATCATTTAGTTACCGAAAACGTAAAAAATTTGGAGGCCACGAGTACGATTCAAGTTGGGATGTCAGATCTTTAAATGAGAGTCCAGGTTTCACCATGACTGGTCCTTAAGAACTTTGTCATAAAATAAGAAAAACTAATGAAACTAATAAATAGTTTTTGAATTATCTTCTCATCCTATACTTTGAATGAAATATAGTTTAATGAAAAAATACTTAAGTGTTTTAATTTGATTGGATGAAAGATGATATCAATAATAATGATGTAAAAGTTTGATTACATTTTACAGCATTACTAACACCACCATCAAATCTCTTCAAGCAATCAAATTTTAACTATCCATGCCACATTTTTGAAAAATTGGCTTTTTCCAACCTCATCTTTCCGAAAATGTTAAATTTATGCCTAAACAATTTTTTTGGCCTAAACATATTTAATCGTTAAAAAAATTTGAATTTCAATCTTAATGTATGTTTTTTGTGCATAAATCTACTTCCGTCCAATGGATATTAAGTCGCCGTCAAGCACTGTCTACATGGATTCCACGTATAAGCCACGACTTTGTTTTGGGCTGCCGAAGTCTGTAAAAAATAATGACAAAACGACGTTGTTTTGTTTCTGGGCCTTATCAGATCACAAAAAATATTTCGGGGAAACTTGAAAGCAACCAACATTTTGATTATCGATTCTGCACCACATCGACATTTCGATAGTATCCTTCTCTGTTGCTCAGTCTCGTGCCGCTTGAATGTAATTCCTTCATGAAATACAGGGTAAGAAGACACTAATTAGAAACTCAGGAACACAGAAAAAAGGAAAACAAAAACCACTAACCAGAACTGCTCAAAGAAAACATCGACATCGAAGAATTGAGAGGTTGAAGAACTAGATTTTTCAAAACCATAAATCGAGACTCGGTGAAAGGAAAAGTCGAGAGCTTGAAGACAAAGATGAGAATAAAAAAAACTTAACTAAACGTCGTCATTTTGTTAAAAATATTTCCCCACGATTTAGGGAGGAAAACGACCTTGTTTTGTCTCTGATGATCTAATTCACAACCCATACGACATCGTAGCTTACGTGGAGTCCACATACACAATTTTGATGACAAATTAACAGCATTTCTCCAAAAGTAAGTTTATGCACAAAAAACATACATTAAAGCTGAAATTCAAATTGTTTAACGATTAAGTATGTTTACGTCAAAAAAATTGTTTAGGCATAAATTTAACATTTTCAGAAAGATTAGGTCGGAAAAAGCCAAATTTCCCCACATTTTCGTTGAAGTATTTTTAAGAAATTTTTTTTTATAATAAATAATATATAGTTGAGATATTTATAATTTTTTTTTCTCAATTAAATATTTCAGTATAATTTATTGTTTTTTTTCTGACATAGTATAATTTATTGTTTTCTTGTTAACTAATCACTTTACGAATAAACTAGGAGAGAACCCGCGCATATGCGCGGATCTTGTTTTAATTTATATTTTAAATAATACATTTTTAGAATTTGTATTGAATTTTATTTTTACCATCAATGTTATTTTTGTTTAAAATATTTATATTTTCCGATTTCTTCTAGATGATAAATTATTTATAATCTCTTCCACACCGGTTGTAGCAAATAATCCAATTTTTCTCCTACGGTAATAAGGGACTAAAGATCTACTATTTTAATTTATATATAAAAAAGTAATACCTCATAGAAAAATTTAACATTTTGAGTTTTTTTGGTTATATATATTTTATTGATTACATCTTTTTAAAAATTACTAAAAAACTTTGTATGACATTTTTATGTATCCACTTTTTTTTTTACTATTATTTTTAATAATTTTTTATCTCTTTAATTATTTATTGAATATTTTTGTGTGTTATAATTTTATTAGTTAGAGTTTTATATAAGATTATTTAAAACTTCTTAACTTATTCAGTCTGATAATTTTTTTCACTTTCATAAAAATTTAATTATACTTTTAGTTTGAAAATGTAGTTTAAATCACTTGGAAAGAAGAAATGGAATGATGTATTTCAAAAAGTCTTATATTATATAATATTTATAAGTTTTGATATATTTAAAATAAATTTGAATTTATTTATTTAAATACATTTGTTATACATATTAATATTTATTAATGTTCTTTAATGCTTTTTTTTTTAAATGTGATTAATTGTTTATTTCATTAAGATTTTAAATGGACAGGTGACGCTTTCTGCAGTGCTGATGTGGCAAACATCTGGAGAAAGTTGGCCAAGTTTTATATATAAGATGTAGTAAACAAACAATAATTAATCAATTCTCTTTTTTTTTCACTGATAAGTACGTTAAAAACAAAACACATGGTTCTGAAAAACAAAGGTGACGAAATACAAATTATCCATCACAACAAAAACATGAAACCGACTACACTAAAGTAGTAAGTATCTCCCATTGAACCAGATCCCAGGCTAGAGCACCAGTCACAACATATTGTTGATTGTGGATTTCAACTAAGAAGTCAATTCGGTAATTCAAAGTCGGAAGGTATTAATATTTTTGAGTTCGGAATACAACTGTCCGAGTTCAGATGTCTCTCGACGAACTGGAAAATACAATACTTTTTGAGCTCTTTTATTTCTCAGGGAAGTGTCCAGCTCCTTGAACAGTAACAAAGTCCCCTATTTATGGTACATTAATGACAATGTGCCTTAGGATTTCCGCCTTATAATCCCACCAAATTTTGTTATTGGGCTTTATCGTTAGTGGGCCGTCATATCAGGCCGAGCCCATTTCAGTATAAACCATCATAAACCGGATACAATTAGACCGATCTTGATCTATACCAAGCCTAACCGGGTTGCAGAGCATACCACCAACACATACGATTGATATGAGTCTTCTTTCCTTACACTCTTAGTGATAAGTGAAGCATATATATTGGTTTTTGGCTCCTCAATGTAAAACGTCCATTCTTTCAGCTAATCTATTCTTTTTCTAATTCCTTTGTTTTAATGTATTTATATAAATATGATAATGATTTGATAAGGATTGTACCAATTTAATATTAGTTTTTTTCCTTGCAAAACTAAACTATAAATCTGTTTTATTCAGTTCAAAACCTAATCACTATCAGATATGCCAATAAACCAGATAAACTAGTATTTAAATATGATGATTGTTGGGGATAATTCGATCTTTCCTACGTGGACGAATCACGTGCTAGCACATGGTATCTATGATTTTTTTACAGGTACTCCCTCCCTCCCCCTTTCACCGGGCCAAATTAAAACCTGTATTGGGCCTCCAGCCCAATACAGCCTAAACTTATAGCATCGGGTCTCTAATCCAATTAGATTTGGGAGATCTGTCACGATAGACCACTTATTCCCGGGTTCCTTGTTTCTGACAAGACAGACCACGTTGTCAGAAACAAGGAACTCGGGAACTGAGTTGTCAGGAGAATGAGAGGTCACATTCTCTATGTCATAAACCTAAGCTCAGTCGGTGATCCAGAAAGGTTGGAATATAAAAGAAGAGTGGTCCACACAGGTACCCGGAGAGCAAAGTCATTCATCTCCGGCAGCCCGGTCCCAGTATCGAGGGATCCAAGACAGGTATTAGTAGCCCATTTGAGCGGGAATACTGTTCAAATTTCTCTCCAATCGACAATAAGAATATGACTTAGTTTGATTTGATTGCTCATACTCTTACAAACCCGTGAAAATAGCATTTAATGCGTTTTCCTTGCGTGTGTTAGGTGAAACTGACTTTTTGCAGAAGCCAGGAGAAAAAGTAAAGGTTCGGCAAAGAGCTATACAGCGTTTGAGCCGCCAACCCGACTCATACACTGAGAACGAAAGGGACGCACCAAGAGATTGTCTCATTGCAGGCAGAATATGCCAATGAAAGTTGGTGAGACCATAAGAGGCATGACGCCATCACAAGATTTGAGTTCAGTCGAGTCGGGTCATAGGCCGATCTACCCGATCCACAATCCATGGGCCAACTCGGTATACTAACTCGAGTCAGGTATCCCTATAAATATATTACCCATCTTAATATATTTTCTACACACTTTTAGCCATCTAAAGTCTCACGATATCTCTCTAGATAGTTGTGGTTCTTAAGCTCAGGCACTCTACATAGTTCTGATCATCTTTCCGTTCATTTCATTTCATTTCTCTTCTTTCACGGTTCCTAAACTGCGCAGCTCCTTCACTCTTAGACTTTTTTTTTCTCTTTTTTTCCACCGCAAAAATCCCATTTTCACTCTCAAGCCCGAGTAGATCCTGCTTTTCTCAAGGGCTCTCGGTCCACCTTCCTTTTTAAAGTTTTCTGACTTCTTTCCGCTTTCCGAATAGCTATATTGTAGCCTTTGTCGAGCCGTTTTCTGACTTGAGCATCAGAGTGCTTTCGAAAAACACACCCTATCGTGTTTTCCAGACCCTGACGTCTTCTCTGTTTTGCAGGAAACTTGCCCATAGAGGAGGACTGAAAATCTCCTAAACAATGATGATATGACAGAGATTTTTACTTATCTTGCAAAATCAAGTTTTAAATAGTTTGCAATAGAGTTGTCCTCCAGTAAGTTTGTAAAAATCTTCTATTTTTAATCCCTTAAAATAGTTTTTTGTTTGTGTTTTGTTTAAAAATATACAATTATAAAACTTTATTTCTAAGCAAAAATGTCATTAATTGAAAAATACTAAATTAAAAACAGAATACTAATGAGCATCTTGAATCTTGGAAGCCAACAAAATTGCTTTATTTTCAGTATATGATTAACTTTATTCAAATAATAAATTTTAATTGTCAAATCGTTTTAGGTACGTATACCATCGATAAAAAAATTTAATTTTAAAATAATTAAAATTGTTATATTTTTAAAAAATTATTATAACTTTATTTTCTGTATATAATTAAACCTACTTAAATAATAAATTGTAATCATATATATTATAAGCAAAGTAAAATTTTGAGTTAAAGCTTTCTCATTCATTCTTAGGGTGGCTAATTACCTTTTATCCCTCCTTATATTTTTAAAAATTAAATTTAATAAAAAAATTATTAAAAATCATAAATTAATTAAAAATTATTAAAAATCGTAAACTAAATAAAATATTAAAAATCGTAAATTAATAAAAAAATTGTTAAAAATCGAAATTTAATCAAAAAACATTTAAATTTAATAAAAAATATTAAAAATCAAAATTTAATCAAAAAATATTTAAAATAGAAAATAACGAAAATTTAAAAATTAGATTTAATCAAAAAACATTTAAAATCATATCATATATAATATATGCGAAGTAAATTTTTCGCTATAAGGTCTCTCATTCAATCTAGGTAATTAATTCTCCTTTATTCGTTAATAATTTTTTTTTTAAATATCCTTAATTAATTAATTTATTTTTGTAGTTTGTATAACAATTTTGCTGCCACTTTTAGTTATTTTGATAATATTAAAATAATTTCAATCGGATTATCTGTTGAGCAAGATTATCTAGAAAAAAATATACATGTGATGTGGGAAATCTTAGCTTAAGTTGAGAGCTATATATAAATATATTACTTTTTTAAATGTATCTTAAGCTCAATTGTGGTTTGGTTTCTACATTGGTCGGCTTTTTGTTGTATTTTTTACCATCTTTATTTTTTTATAAATCAATTTTTTGATTTTTTCTATTGTTTTTTCCGTTTTTCAGTACCAGTAGTAGTGTTCCTCGATTATATATTGTTGTTTTGTGTTGTCAGTTATTCTTCCTTACTTAACGTGATTAAAACCATGTCAACATATCATAAATCATCTTCATTGTCTAATGAACAGGTTTTAAGTCTTTTTTTTTGTTTGCTTTAAGTATGGCTTTCTGAATTCTGTTTATTTTTGGAATAATGTAAGAGAGGTCAAATACACTAGCAGGGCGCAGAGGAAAAAATCGAAAAAGAAAACAGAAAAAGGAAAAAAGGGAAAAACGAAATAGAAAAAGAAGAGAAAAATATAAATTGAAACATATAGAAGAACATAGAGTTAACGAAAACGTAAAAAAATGAGAAAAAAATGAACAAAAAGTCCTAGACCATGAACGATAAGATCAAGATGGGTAACACAAAATAGTGAAGAAGAAAAATGATAAGGAGATGAAGAACTCAAAGTTGAAGAAGAAAACTGAAAGAAAAAGAAGAACAAAAATGGTAGATGAAGAAAATAAAGTATAAGAAGATGAAAATCCGATGATGAGAAAGAAAATAAAAAAGAAGAAAGTAAAGATGCGAAAAAGACAAACAAAAATTAGAAAGAAAAAATGTTTGGATAGGACAAAAATGATCAAGAAGAAGTAAAAAGCAGAAGATAAAAACGGCTAATAAAACCAAAAGAAGAATAGTAGAAGATGTTGAAGAATAAGAATTTAGAGTACTACAAAGACAATAAATAAAACAAAGAAGAAGGGGCAGACAAATAAACCAAAAAAAATCACCAGAAAAAACGAAAGAAAAAAACCCGAAAGGAAAAAAATCAAGAAAGTCAAAGAAGATGAATAAAATACATAAGAAGAAATAGTCAAAAAAAATGAAAGATAAGAAGGATAAAACAAAGAATAGAAAAGCTAAAAAATAAAGAAAAAAGAGAAGAATAAGAAAATAATGATAATATGAACAAAAAATAATACAGTGAACAAGTAAGATAAATAATCGGATAGGTCGATGACGATGAACAAAAAAAATTAAATGACCAATTGGAGAAGAAAAAAGATAATAAGAAGAAGAAGTCATAAAAGAAAACCAGTAGATAATAGAGGAAGTGAAAGAAAAAATAATAAAATGGAAGAAAACTAGAAGATGAAGAAGACAAAGTTGAAAAAGGTAAATATGATGAAAAAACGAAGACAAATCAGATGAATAAGAAGTAAAAAAAATGAAGACAATAAAGAAGAACAATTTGAAAATAAATAACGATAAAAAATAACTCAAAAATATAAGGAAAAAACTAAAAAAAGGAAAATATAAACCATGAGAGGAGTAAAGACAGATAAGACAAATATCTTTAAAATATGATGAAGAATTTGGAGAGAGGAAGAATAACTGGAAGAAGAGGAATAAGAATCTATTGAAGGAGCAAAAAAATAAATTAGAAGGCAAAGTAGAAGAAGAAGAAGATAGGGAAGAGAAAAAATTGGATGAAAACCTTAAAAGATGAGGAATTGGATAAAGTAGAAGAATATGAAGATGAGGTAAAAACCGAAAAACACCAGAAGAATAGGAAGTCGGTGATAACGAAGAAGACGATGACAATGAAAAAGGAAAAGAAAAAAAGAAGAAGAAATAGAATAATAAAACATTGAAGAAGAAGAAAAAAAGAAATAAAACCTGGAAGAGAAGAAAATCAAAAGATGTATGAGAGGGAAAAGGAAAAGATGTGGAGAAGAAGAAGAAGACGTGAAATAGAAAAACCAGCAGAAGAAAAAGTAAAAAAAAGACATAGAAAATAAAGAAGAAAAAAAAAACAAGAAAACAAAAAAAAGAAAGAAAGAAAAAATGATATAGAAAAAAAATTAAAAGATAAAAAGAGAAAAAGATGAATAATTTATATAATCTTATTTTAATTTTTGTTTATTGATTTCATACACTTATTAGTATTGATTTTAAAGTTTTTAATGTTAGACAATGATTACTTTCATAGGTTAGCTTTATTTTAATTTTGTATGTATCAAATTCTTGATCTAATTATTTTTGATTTATGACATAAAATTTTAATTATTTTAGGTTTCAATGAAATTTTTTGGTCCGCACAAATCGCGGGCTAAACACCTAATACAAAAATAATCAAAACCATTAATTAGTCGAGTACTATTTTTAGGTGGAGGGAGAAGAAAAGTAAAAGAGGGGGCTTTGTTGACCGACCCACATGTGAAACTGAAACTGTCTCTATTTTAATTTTGCCGACAACGAAACGGTCACTTTGCTTCACTCGACACATCCATATGTCACTCTTAACTCTCTAACTTGAATCCCCCAAAATTTATGCTGACCCACACTTCCTTTAACCTCTCAACAAATTTTCTAGATTATCTTTCTTTTTCTTTTTCCAAATTTAATTCTCGGATTTGATGAAACCCAAGAATTATTCTCCGATGGAGAAACCCATCTCCGTCGTCACGGGGAAATTCCGCAGCAGCAGCAACAACAACCATAACAATGTCTGGTTCGTTATTCCTCTCTTCTTCCTCCTCTGTTTCGTTCTCCTCTGTTTCGACTACTCCGCTCTCTCCGGCACCAACACCGACACAGACGAATCCGCTTTCTCCATTTCCGACGCTACCCAGAAATCGATTCCCCGTGAAATCACGAAAGAACCCAACTTTACTCGATTACTCGAAGACACACTTCCCGATTCTTGCTCCGGCCGGTACATCTATCTCCACGATCTTCCCTCTAGATTCAATCGCGATTTGCTTGAGAATTGTAGTTTGATTACAAGGGGAACCGAGAAAAACATATGCCCTTATCTCGAAAACTATGGATTCGGTCCCGAGATTGACAACTCCGAGAACGTACTCTTGGGTCAGTCCTGGTTCACGACGAATCAGTTCATGCTCGAAGTGATTTTCCACAACAAGATGATGAAATACAGCTGCTTGACCGATAATTCGTCTCTAGCGTCTGCGATTTTCGTGCCCTTTTACGCAGGTCTTGACATGAGCAGGTATCTATGGGGATTCAACATCTCGGTACGAGACTCCTCGTCTCACGAGCTGATGGATTGGCTCGTGAAACAGAAAGAGTGGGGTCGAATGTCAGGTAGAGACCATTTCTTGGTCGCAGGAAGGATTGCTTGGGATTTCAGGAGACAAACTGATAACGAATCAGATTGGGGAAGCAAGCTCAGGTTCTTACCTGAATCGAGAAACATGTCGATGATGTCTATTGAATCGAGTTCTTGGAACAACGATTACGCTATCCCTTATCCCACCTGTTTCCATCCTGCATCTTTGGACGAACTTTCTGAGTGGCAAGAACGTATGAGGTCTCGGAAACGTGAGTATCTGTTCGCGTTCGCGGGTGCTCCTAGGCCTGAATATAAAGACTCGGTTCGAGGGAAGATCATAGATGAGTGTTTGGAATCAGATGGTCAATGTTACTTGCTAGACTGTAACTATGGGAAAGTGAACTGTGATAACCCTGTCAATGTGATGAAAGTTTTCAGGAACTCGGTGTTTTGTCTTCAGCCACCGGGAGATTCTTACACAAGAAGATCGATTTTTGATTCGATATTGGCAGGCTGCATCCCTGTGTTCTTCCATCCGGGGACAGCTTATGCGCAATACAAGTGGCATTTGCCTAAGAACCACAAGAGTTACTCGGTTTATTTACCGGTTAAGGATGTGAAGGAGTGGGATATCAAAATCAAAGAGAGGTTGATTGAGATTCCGGAGGAGAAAGTGGTGAGGTTGAGAGAAGAGGTGATAAGGTTGATACCGAAAGTGGTTTACGCTAATCCGAGTTATGGATCGGAAGGGAATGAAGATGCGTTTGAGCTGGCTTTGAAGGGAATGTTGGAGAAGATTGAGGAAGTGAGAGAGATGATGAGACAAGGGAAAGATGGTAGTGAAGGGTTTGATGATAGAGATGATTATAAGTATACATTTTCTCCGTATGAAGCTCAAGTCTTGGCATAGAGATGGAATATATGCCAATGTGGGTTTTTTTAGTTTGTTTAGGTAGAAGCAATTTGTTTGCTTTATAGTAAAAAAAGAAAAACAAATAAAAGAGGCTATATTGATGCAAAAGAGACATAAAAAGATGACATTTGAGTAGTGTTGTTCAACAATTTTGGTTAAGTTCACTGATACTGAAGCCTCTAATTTGGTACATTGGACTTGGTTTGAGTGCAGTATGGCGATGGTTAAACAGAACCGAACAAAAATGATCGATCCAAAAACCGAATATATGTGATTGGATTCTCTTATTCTAATTCGGAAAACCAATTTTGTATCTGAATCGAAAAAAAAAAAATGGATAGAATATGTTTTTAGAGTAATGACAAAAAGCCAAATCGAACCGAAATCTAAACCAAACCGGTAAATCGAGTTATACCAACCGGTTCGATGGGTTTTCTATTTGCTTCATCTGTTGTGCTCTGGCCTCGTAAGGCGTTTAAGTGTTTGCCGCCGAAGCTTTATCGATGGCGACGAATCCGACGTTTCAGCTTTTCTCTTCTTCGAACGATAAATCTTCTCAAGGTTCTGGTTTAGGTTTAGGGTTCTTCGATTCACCAGAGCCAGCTCTTCCTCCACCGCCTCCTCCCGTTGAAGTATTATCCTCCGAGGTATCATCGTCGCTTTCACTTTCTCTGCAACTTCATCTCCTTCTTCCTATGTTTTACTGTAATTTCTCCTTATTTTAATCTCTGGGGCTTCGTCGCAGTAGGCTTCTTCCTCCGTCGATTTCGCGGTGGATAAAATGCCTATTGGCGATGTCACTCTTTTGAAGGTGATGTTTCTGATTACTTTCCTAGAACTATCGTATAATCCTTTAATCAATAATAAGGGAGAATCACAACGAGTGTAATCACAAAAAAAAAAAATCTCAGCTTGTACTTGAATTAGCTCAAAGCTTGTCCAGTAGAGATTATGATTTTCATGGAAGTGAGTTTACTAAGTTTCTGCTTTGGTTTTTAGGGACGTGTGAACACTAAAGAGGTCTTTGGATTGCCTAATTCGGATTTGGTTCCTGGAGTATATGAAGGTAAGTGATATTCTTGTTTTGGTTTATGTGATGTTGCATCCCTGGGTCATTTATTTTTGTCACTCGAATTTGATTTGATTTAGGCGGGCTTAAGCTTTGGGAAGGATCAATAGATCTTGTTAAAGCTCTTGAGAAAGAAACAAAAACCGGGAACATTTCGTTTTCCGGGAAGCGGGTTCTCGAGGTAAGCTCATTCCTGCATTATAGGTTGCTTCTTGATCTTTGTGAGAAGAAAAGGGTTATGTATATGCTCTATATAGATTTCTATCAGAATGATATCCATGTAATGTGTTGTGTTGTTGAGATTCTTTATTTCAAACAAGTACTGCAACCTCCAACTTTAGTCTGAGCTTTCACCGTGCATTACACAACTGTATTTGTTATCTGAGTTATGATCTATGGAACAGGCTGTATCACATTTTCATGTTATTTCTAATCATAAGTCATTGAATCTATGGTTTCAGCTTGGATGCGGTCATGCACTTCCAGGAATCTATGCATGTCTCAAGGTAAGTTGATGCTTTCAAGCTCTCTACTCTGTGGCCAAAACCATGAGTTCTTAGATCTTTTCTACATTCTTTGATCTTTTGTTTCCAGGGTGCAGATGCTATTCATTTCCAGGACTTCAATGCTGAGGTCCTTCGATGTCTCACCATTCCGAATCTGAATGCTAATCTATCCGAGAAGTCTCCATCTGTCTCATTAGGCGATACAGAAGTACGCTTCTTTTCCGGTGAGTGGAGTGAAGTTCATCAGCTTCTTCCACTAGTTAATGATGGAGAGGCTGATAAGAAGGGTGGTTATGACATCATTCTAATGGCTGAGACAATATATTCCATCTCCGCTCAGAAAAGCCTCTATGCACTGATTAAAAAGGTACGTGGACACTCTCGTTTTCTCCTGCATATAGCAGAATCAGTCTTAATGATTTATCGGAGGTTTGAATCGTGATTATTTTGCAGTGCTTGGCGTGTCCTGATGGGGCAGTTTATATGGCTGCAAAGAAGTACTATTTCGGGGTTGGTGGAGGGACAAGACAGTTCTTGTCGATGATAGACAAAGACGGTAAAAAATGGTCTATTCGATGTTATGTAAAAAAGCAAGGGCTGCGTTCTTGATCTTCTTGTATTTGGGACTAAGACTGCTTCGATTTTAACTTCATCGCAGGTGTTCTTGCTTCAACGTTGGTGTCTGAAGTCACAGATGGTTCCTCCAATGTTAGAGAGGTGTGGAAGCTTTCGTACAAGTAAGTCAAAAGTTCTAACGGGACTTAATGTCGCTCCTTTGTGGAATCGAGTTTAGTGTTTTTTGTTTCTCAAACGCAAAATCTCATTCATGTTTTAGCTTATATATTCTGTTGAGATGGACTTGTCATCGCTTACTTTTGTACTTCGATACAATCTCTGACTAAAGAAAAAGGCTTATGTTCTGCCTTTGATTCTCACCTGACCAAAATACAAAACTCTGTTTACTTGGTAACATGATCTGATAGTGATGACTCGAGATGATTGTGTTTTGGTCACTCCAATGGAATTTGAGATTAGAGGCGTAGCAGTTGGTGTCGAATGGGTCAAAAAGTTTTTAAAAAAAACAAGAAAAAAAAAACCGACTTAAAAATTAAAAAGGTTCAGTGTTTTCAGAAATTCATTATGGACCCCAACTCTTTTTTGGTCCAACAAAGGAAACCCCAAACTCTTTTTTGGTCTAACAAAGGAAAATCCAAATCCAAATTCTGTGTGTTACAACAAAGAATCAAAAGAGAACGATTCAAATTCACCAACCAACAAACAATAAAAAGAACATATGGTTATACAGCTAACACAACTTAGAATGATGATATGATGATGGTGAATGGTCAAGAATCACTCCTGCAACGGTAAATCTTAGGGCAGCCTCTACTGTAAGGATTAGACGCCTTAGGAAGACATTTGTTGGTGTAAGGCTCGCCGCGGTTACCACCGTCGCAAGCAGGTTGATTCCTCCTCAAAGTTCCATATGAAAGCTTATGTACCTGCTCTTCCATCAATCTCTGGCTTGACCATGACTCCATTACCACCGTCATTTCATCCTTCTCCACTACCTTACTGCACCCTCCCACCGAACCATTACAAAGAGACGACGATGATGATGATGAGGATGTCTCGGAGATGACGTGTCCGACAAGGTTAAAGAAGATGATGCTGATGGTGAAGAAGATCTTAGTCTCCATTTGTTAGTCTATTATTGAAGAGAGAAGAGAGTGGGAAAAAAAAAAGAAGAAGAAGAGAGTGCATTGTGAAGGCGAATCTTTGGTTATATGAGTAATAAATAAGCATGGAATGCCACATTGGGGACTATTTCATCGTAGAAAGTATTTCTAATTGTAAAGATAAGAAAACTTAGTGGGAGTAGCACTCTAGAGGGACCGCACTTCACCTAACACACTGCTTTTAGTTAATTGAGTACATATGTATATTTATGTCGGATCAGTGTATCTTTATGCCTATGTTAATGTACAACTTATACATCTCGTTTTCTTGTATACTATAATGTTTTTTTTTTTTTTGGTAAAAAGTTTAAACCTGGATTCTTATTGGAACACTATTATCTACCATCACGTACAAAGTAATGTAATTAGGAAGAGTTTTGTGAGAGAGGATGCTTTCTATTTAATGAGAAACATTATGCATTAGCTTATCCCCGGATTAACCGGACTTGACCTAGGTGCTGGATTTAAAGCATAATGTTTATATCTCGCATGGAGTATTCTGATCCCTTTCTTTCTGCCAGAAAACCTACTTTTTATATTAAGCGAAGTAAAGCTTCCATTTTAATTCAAGTTCTTTTTTTGTAAAAAAAAAATATTTTGAAAGAAAACTCAATTCAAGTTCTTGACGAAACATTGTATTTTCAAATGGTGACACTGCGGAATCGTACAAAAATGAATAAAATACGCATAAATAACCTTTTTAATCATATTGAAAATTTGCAAAATAAATAAAATTCTATATTTTGGTCAAGTAATGGAATTATTGTAACAAATACAATTGGCTGAAATGTTTGATTAGTAATATGTAATGCGGAATTTCAAAATTTTGGAATCTTTTCGCTGATCTAGAGAAATTTGGGTTTGTGAACAAATATATCATTAAATCTTTTTTTTGATAAAAATCATTAAATCTTTGGCGCTATTTACTTGAAGGATTCACTAGTTTAGTTGCTTATGGTTTTGTGTGTAATATCTGAAGAGTTAATTAAAGCCCTAAAGGTATAATCCATTAGTTCAATTGGTGAATTTTTAGTGTAATATTTACAGAGGTTTGAAGTTATAACTTTCTCGTTTGTGTTTTTATCAGCAACATGCATATACGGATTGGAATATGGATAATAACGCAACAAAGATAGCAGCACATACTATGAAATTTACAAATCCTAAGCTTTTCTCGTTCTAAAGACAAAAAAATAATATACATACAGTGTATATATAGAGGAACCAAGGGCCAGTCATATGATATCACGATTCTTTAGGCATGTGACCACCTTTAAGCTAATTAAGGTCCACGATTCCATGGTTTACCAAAAAGAACCAATGAAATTTATTTTTCTACTGGTACGAGAGTTGTTAATCTAAAATCAGACCAAGTGATCAAATTACTAAAATAACTCGATGATCATCCACATATATTTTTCTCTCTTAGATATCAATATTTCGCAAGAGGAGTTACAACTTCTAAGCACATAGTGAAATAAGCAACAAATGTTCCATGTAATGGAAGTATACATACTTACCAAATTTATTACTTATATCATTCATATTTATTGATTTCAAATTATTATATCTCCGGAGAGTTCTCTCTTCAACCCCTGCATCTGTAGTACTTGGGATGGCCAACGTGGTACCTGTTCGACGGAGGAGGCATGACTCTTCCTCCACCACCACCAGCTGGCGGCGTATCATGTTTGAGAGCTCCATAGGTGAGATACCTCACTTTACTTGTCAACATCATCCTCTCACCACTCGATGATGTTACCATATCTTTAGTTTCTACATCATCATGTTTTAGGATCATTTTGTTCACCTCTTCATCTCTCGAACCATCTTCTTCATCGCTCTCGTAACGTTCTTTGACCCAAGTGTTCTTCACGTGATGCTTTCCGGGTGCACGTTTTTCGTCGTTTTCGGTAAATCCTTGAGAGAATGTGTAGTACTCCATGCTTGATGTGGTTTATACTTTGAATTATATATTTATTGATTTGGGATACATCCTTTATTTTATAGTGGAAGATATTCGTTTTTAACTTGTGATGCGTTATCGAATATTTTTTTTTCTTCTTTTCAAAAAGGGTATTCGAGCGAAAAACAATAAAGCGGTCATTCGTTTAAGAAAATAAGTAGTATCGTACGTAAAAAGTGTTATGAAGTAATTGAACTTACCACCCAGATATTTGTTGGGGTCGGTTTCATCCCAACCGGTTAAAACCATATCAAGAATAAATTAATCATCGGGAGAGCCGATTTGGCAAGGGCCGAACCCCCACATAGGAGGAGTAGGCCGAGCTGTATCCAATATTACAGATGGGTCGAGCTGTGAGGAGGCGATGGGCGAGCCGCGCATGAGAGAAGATGGGTCGAGCCATACACAAGTGAAGATGGGCCAAGCTGTGCAAGAAGGACAATGCACCGAGCCGCTACCTTTCGCAATTGGGCCGAGCCGATCCTTCCGAGATGGGCCGAACCGAAGTCTTGAAGGAAAAAAGCCCATAAAAACCCTAGGAAATGCCTTGAGGCGGTGGCCGCACGAAGCGATAAAGAAATGTTCCTAAAATCTCTCCCGAGATTCTCGGCTAGGCGGTTAAGGAGTTAATATAAATAGGAGATTTACACGATTCATTATGTAACTTTGACAACTCGAGAGCAATAAGACCTAAAACACTTTCCAGCAAACAAAACCTTTTTTGATCTTACTGTTCTTGCGATTACCCTATAAATTTCGGATCCCTTAGTTTTTTCTTACAAATTTTTTGTTGTGCGAGTTTTGGCTCACACAATTTGGCACCGACTGTGGGGAACTCGAAACTTTCTTACTCTAAAATCGACAAGACTTTAAGATCCCAAGAACATGGCGAGCAATACCCCCGACGATAACAACAACAACAACAACAACAACGCGGAGAAGGACGCCCCAGCATCGGGCACAACGATGGCGACAGCTGAAACCCAAGCGGAGATGCGAAACATGATGGCTGTATTGATGAAGAAAATTGACGAGCAGGACAAAAGGAACGAGGCGACGGAAAGGTTCGACGCAATGACGGCCGAACGACGACACCCGACTTGGAGAGCCGGAATCTCTGACCCGATGGATGGAATCCGGAAACGCTTCGATTTCTCAATGCCTGCAGAAGCCTCGGGGAGCGGCGCAAGAAACCCCTTGGCTCCACCAATGTTTCGTCCCCTCGGCGAACAGACTCCCTCGGCAACCCGAGTCAACATGACCGAGCCGTCTCCACTCCGTCAAAACTCAAGGCGACGAGCCGACGAAGAGGAGAATGACGCGATCGACGTGAACGCCCAACAGAACGATGGAACCACGAACTCGCAACAAAACGGCTCGGCTCGGCGAATAAGCCAAGAAGAGCTCGGCTTGGCACTAAACGGCGTCCGGACTAATGAAGTCACCGATCTAGCTCGCGGCGACAACCCGACTGAAGAATAAGAAAACCTCCAATGGATCGAGCAGGCGGAGCGCGAAGACGAGCCGAGGAGAGAAGAGCGGGAGCGACTTCCCCAATCAAAAGGAATGACTCACGCACAGACCTTCGAAATCAAGGAACTGCGAGCCTCAATGGCTCGGACAGTAGCCGAGATACGCGCCATGAAGTCTTAAGTGCATAACGCAACGAGTGCTGCGCCCGAGATCGATCGAATGCTCGAAAAAACCCATAGAACACCATTCACGGCGAGAATCACGGAGGCTAGGATTCCCGAGCCCGGGAAGGTGAGAATCTCATTCTACGAAGGAACGACCGATCCGAAAGCACACATCACAGCGTTTCGGATAGCAATGGGACGAGCTTTCACAAAGAACGCTGCCAAACTGACCGAGCGGGAAGTAGATGCCGGATATTGCTTACTCTTCGTGGAACATCTCAAGGGAGCCATGCTCGAGTGGTTTTCGAGACAGGAGCGCAATTTAATCGGCAGTTTCCAACAACTCTCCGCTTTGTTCCTTAAACAATACTCAATGTTTATGGATAGAAGAACTTATGATGCCAACCTGTGGACGCTATCCCAAGGACCGAATGAACCGCTTCGGGATTATATGGCAAGGTTCAAGGCGGTCGTATCCAAAGTAGAAGGAATAAGCGACAAGGCTGCACTCCAAGCTCTGAAGTGGTCTTTGTGGTACAAATCCGAATTCCGACGGGAAATGGCACTCAACACGCCACAAACAATTCAAGATGCCTTGCATCGGTCGTCAGACTTCGTCATAAACGAAGAGGAGATGAATAATCTGGACAAACAGTACGAAGCAACGAAAGCAGCGATCCGAAGCTCAATTTTGACGCGCCCCTCGAAGAAAGGCAATCCATCAAACAACACGGCAACACAGAGCTCGGACGAACCTAGAAGCGGAGGTGCCCATAACTACCAAGTAGGCGCTGGACGCGGAAGAGGAGAGCCGCACTACAACACTTGGGTAAGAAAGCCCACCAACTACGACGAAAGGCGTTCTGCGAGTATCACCAGACCTACGGGAATTCAACGGCACAATGCCGAACTCTAGGAGCAAAACTCACAGCTAAGATGGCAGCAGGAGAGCTCCAGAATGCGGTTAATCTCAAAGACCTCGTCCCTAATGAACCAAAAGAGGGAACCAAGCCGAGCAGCGCGACAGAACCCGCAAATTCTCCCCGACGGGGCGATAACACCAAGCGCGACAGGAGTGGCGAACCTGAAGAGCGACCCGAGCCGAGACAAAGGATCAACATGACCATGGGCGGATCTCAATATTACCAAGACACGGTGTCCTCCATCAAGGCTTATCAGCGCCGAGCCGAAGCGAAGGAAAATTGGACAGAACCGATATTCAGAATACAGTGATCTCCTTCGCCGAGGAGGAAACGACAGGAATCGATAGACCGCACAACGATCCACTGGTGATCGAATTGACGATCAGGGACCACGATGTAGCGATGGTGCTCATCGATACTGGGAGCTCGGTAGATGTCATTTTCAGGGAGACACTCAGAAGGATGGGAATCGAACTTTCCGAAGTGACAGCGATCCCCAAACCTCTGACCGGATTTTAAGGAGAAACAACGATGACTATGGGCACAATTAGGCTCCCAGTGGTAGCTGGCGGAGTTACTAGGATCGTCAAGTTCTGTGTCACCGATCACCCGGCAATCTACAATGTGATTATGGGAACTCCATGGATCAACGCAATGAGGGCGGTCCCTTCGACCTATCATCTCTGCCTCAAATTCCCGACTCTAGCAGGCATCAAAACAATCTGGGGAAACCAGAAGGAGTCGCGAATGTGTTGTTTGGCGGAACACAAGTTGAGGAACCCTGTCACCGACACACGAGCAGACGTCGATCGCAAAAAAGTGAAGACAGACCGAGAGCCTGCGAACGAGCTCTCAAAACTCTTGTAGCAATTACAGATCGCGGAGAGCCGCAAAAAGCGCGCCGAGCCGATATGTGATGCGGTGGACTCGGTGTGCATAGACGAAGCGTGTCCAGAACGACGCGTCGATATCGGATCTAAGCTAGAAGAGCCTCTGAGAAGCGAGCTTCTCTCCCTCCTCAAGGAAAATATCAACTCTTTTGCCTGGACGGCGGAGGATATGCCAGGCATAAGCATCGACGTGACCTGTCACAAACTGAATGTAGACCCAACCTTCAAACCAATCAAGCAAAAAAGAAGGAAGCTCGGACCCGAACGAGCTAAAGCAGTTAACGACGAAGTGGAGAGATTACTCAAAGTAGGATCAATCGCCGAGGACAAATACCCGGACTGGCTCGCGAACCCGGTGGTTGTGAAGAAGAAAAGCGGCAAGTGGCGGGTCTGTGTAGACTTCACTGACCTTAACAAGGCGTGCCCAAAAGACAGTTTCCCACTACCACACATCGACCGGCTCGTCGAAACCACTGCGGGAAATAGGCTGTTAACATTTATGGACGCATTCTTCGGTTACAACCAAATCCTGATGCATCCTGATGATCGGGAAAAAACGGCATTCATAACTGATCGCAGGATATACTGCTACAAAAGTCATGCCGTTCGGGCTCAAGATCGCAGGCAACTTATCAACGGCTCGTCAATAAAATGTTCGCGGATCAGCTCGGAAAAGCAATGGAGGTATACATCGACGATATGTTAGTCAAATCACTCGAGGAGAAAGACCATATCGCGCACCTATGAGAATGCTTCGAGCAGTTGAACAAACACAACATGAAACTAAACCCGGCGAAGTGCAGATTCGCGGTCACCTCGGGAGAGTTTCTTGGCTATCTGGTAACTCACCGAGGCATTTAAGCGAATCCCAAGCAGATCAAAGCATTGATTGAGATGCCCTCTCCAAGGACGAAACGAGAAGTTCAAAGGCTTACAGGAAGGGTCGCTGCGCTAAACAGGTTCATTTCCCGTTCTACCGACAAGTGCCTGCCTTTCTACGACACCCTTCGGTGAAATAAGAAATTCGAGTGGGACGAGCGATGCGAAGCAGCTTTCCAGAAATTGAAGAGTTATCTGGCAAGCCCGCCGATCTTGGCGAAACCAGTTGTAGGAGAGCCCCTCTTCCTCTACATCGCCGTATCTGCTACAGCTGTGAGCAGGGTGCTGATAAGAGAAGAGCGATCCGAGCAAAAACCCATTTTCTATGTCAGCCAGACACTGACCAACGCCGAGACCCGTTACCCCCAGATCGAGAAAGTCGCCCTAGCCGTCATAGTATCGGCTCGCAAGCTGCGTCCGTATTTTCAATCACATTCGATTATTGTGCTCGCTACACTTCCGCTACGCTCGATCCTGCACAGCCCGAGCCAATCCGGGCGGCTCGCCAAATTGACCATAGATTTGAGCGAGTACGACATCGAGTATCGGAACATGTCGTTTGCAAAATCACAGGTGCTCGCAGATTTTCTCATCGAACTTCCTGCCAAGGCGACATACGAGTCAACCCCAGACGAAGTATGGATTCTTCACGTCGACGGCTCGTCATCTAAACACGGCTCGGGAATGAAAATCCATCTCACCTCTCCCACCGGAGAAATATTGGAGCAGTCTTTTCGCCTGAACTTCCATGCCTCGAACAACGAAGCAGAATACGAAGCGCTGATCGCCGGCATACGACTAGTGCAGGGAATCGGAGTTCGAAAGATAAGAACCTTTTGCGATTCACAGCTCGTATCATGTCAATTCAACGGGGAGTACGAGGCAAAGGACGGACGAATGGGAGCTTACCTCAAAGTGGTCCGAGAGTTTGTGCAAAAATTCGACGAGTTCGAGCTCACACGAATACACCGAGATGAAAACACCTCGGCTGACGCCTTGGCAGCACTTGCTTCGACTTCAGACCCGGATCTCCGATGGACAATTCCAGTCGAATTCATCGAACGTCCTAGCACGAAGAGGTAGAAGGAGTTCGGCTGATAAATCCTCCCGAACAAGAACCAGAGAGCGGCGAAGCGTTCGCCACGGACGAAGACGCCTCACCAGCCGAGCTAGAGTACGGCTGCGACAAAGAATGGCTCGGAGCCATCCGAGTATATATCACCGACGGAGAAGTACCAACCGACAAGTGGGAAGCCCGCAAGTTAAAAGCTCAGGCCGGGCGATATGTCCTCGTCGACGGCGAGGTGTTTAAATAGAGATTTTCAGGACCGCTCATGACATGCGTCGAGGGACCGGAGGCAAGAAAGATCATGCACGAAGTACACAGCGACACGTGCAGAACGGCACGGCTACTTCTGGCCTACGATGGTCAAGGACTGCTAGAAGTTTACGGCGAAGTGCGAGAAGTGTCAACGGCACGCGCTTACAATTCACCAACCTACCAAGCTGCTGTCATCGATCTCGTCACCTTATCCTTTCATGAGATGGTTGATGGTTATAGTCAGACCTCTACATCGATCGAAGCAGAAGCGCTTTCTGCTCGTCCTCACAGATTATTTTTCCAAGTGGGTCGAGGCCGATTCCTATGCGAGTATAAAGGACGCTCAAATCGAACACTTCGTCTGGAAAAATATCTTCTGCCGACACGGGGTCCCCTACGAGATAGTCACCGATAATGGATCCCAGTTCATCTCAACGCGTTTTGAAGCTTTCTACGAGAAATGGAAAATCCGTTTGAGCAAATCTACGCCAAGATATCCTCAAGGGAACGGACAAGCCGAAGCAGCCAACAAGACGATCCTAGACGGTCTTAAAAAGAGGCTCGACGCCAAGAAAGGACGATGGGCAGACGAGCTCGAAGGATTCCTTTGGTCGCATCGAACAACTCTGTGCCGAGCCACCGGAGAAACTCCATTTGCTCTAGTCTATGGAGCGGAATGCGTAATTCCCCCCGAGGTCGATTTCCCAGGTATTCGACGAAGACTTCTGCCAGGACAGGAGGGCTTGAATCACTTAATGATGCTGGATGAGCTCGATCTGGTCAACGAAAGGCGCGACCAGGCTCTAATCCGAATCCAGAACTATCAACAAGCAACGAAGAGATACTACAACAAAAATGTTCGAAGTCGAAGATTTAAAGAAGGAGAGCTCGTTCTTTGAAAAGTTTTCCAAAACACTGCCGAGAAGAATGCAGGAAAGCTCGGAGCAAATTGGGAAGGACCTTACAAGATTACAAAAGTAGTTCGCTCAGGAGTCTACGAACTTTCGACAGTAGCTGACGAAGCAATTCCAAGATCGTGGAATGCAATGCACCTGAAGAAGTATTATCACTAAGGCTACAACACGGTCAACATGAACTACGGGACGGCTTGATCACTGCAAAGGGTACGTAAGCAGCCCGTCCTCAGACGGGTTCAGCTGTCCCCCCTCCTAAAAAAGGGGGGGGGGGAGTGGGTACGTATACACATACCTTCATTTAACTCTACAATTTTAGCTCGTCTACCATCTCTAGGATCATTGCCACTTCGGCCAATTTTCTATTCGTTTTAAATCAGTCACTTTTTTCATGTTCACCTTGGAATTCTAATTCGTTCATTGTTGCTTCGGCTATTGTCTCATTCGTTTTGAATCAGCTACTTATTTCATGTTCGCCTCGGATTTTTTAATTCGTTCATTCGTCACTTCGGCAAGTTATCATCATTGATGCACACTTCTCCTAGACTTTTACTTGTCCTTGCATTTACTTCGGCAAACTAAGTCTCCAAACATACCTCACCTCGTTGCTGGCCACAGCGAGGCAACAATCACAAAGTTCTCTAAACGGACTTTTAACCACCTTTCCTAGAACGAGGGTGCAAGTTACATCCTCTATGGATTGAAATAAAGCGTGCTATACAAATTTAAGACAAAAAATGTATCGGTCACCACGGTTCATCATCGCACACGAGGTTATAAGTCGAGACTTTATCGCTTTCTCTAAAACCGAAACAAACTCTTAAAACCCGGCTAAACACATTCACCCTCTCGGGAACGCCAGTCTATAATCAAACTTTGATATCGTCTCAGGACAAAGACCTCGACAACAAGAGGTCCAAACTTAGCGCTTGAAACGGCCAAAGACCCGATCTGAAACGCCTCGCACTCTTTCTCTCTTTCCTAACTCAAACGCCTCGGCACTAACGGTGGAAGGCACAAAGGAACGTTAATTTCTCTTAAGAGCTACCTAAAACGAAGACGCCCCACGAATCAACTCCCAGCTCGGGATTTAGACATAAACAGAATCCTTAACAGCTTGTCCCTTAGCTCGATTTTCTATCGATCTTTCGTAAACAGTTCGGCCAGGGAAGCAATCGAAAGCATTCTCGACACAGCTCGACAAACCAATCAACGACAACTCGTGCCAAACAAACAGTTTTTGTCAAAAATTCATAGATCATCAAGGACAAACACATCAAATCTAACAAAAAACGACTAAGGAAAAGATGAATATAACCATAGCTAAATGAATAGTCAGGTGGATAAAGTCGTCCAGGCATCAATTACATAGAAGTTCGAGAAACGGATAAAATCATCCAAGCCTTAAGTACAAAAACACATGAAACAGAAGATGAGGGAAGGAGGAGAGAGTTTCAAGCCGCGGACTGCGTTTCCCACTCGGCAAGGAGGTTCGAAAGGGCTGGCGTACCCGTATTCGATCCGGTCGAATCTACGACACCCAAGTTGGCTGCTGTCTCTTCGAGCGGCTCGTTTCCCAGACTGGTGTCTACAAAGTCTGGCGACACGGGCGAGAAGACCAGCTCACCTAGGATCTCGGAGGCAATGCGCTCATACCCCTCGTCAACGGCGTACTCGCTCTCCCAGCTTTTTAGCTTCGCCTCCTCGTCGTCCGGTTTCCTCAGATCGACGGTCATTGCAAGGTTGCCCTTGATTTGCCCAACTCGTTCTCATCAGTTTTGGCCTTCTCGAGCTTGGCTAGACCTTCCTCCACCTTGGCAAGGCGTTCCTGAAACTTAGCCGTCAGCTCTCACCTCGCTTCCTTCTTTGCACGCTTGACCTTAGCGTTAAACAAGGCATACTTGGCCTCGATATGCCTCTTAAACAACGCCACCTTGGCGCTTTTGGCTCTCCTAGCCTCCTCGAGGCGAATAACCAAGGCAGAAACCTTGTCGACATCGGCACGAAAATCTATCTTCTCCTCTTCCAGCCTCGATACCCTGGTCATCGCCTCGTCCAGCTTCCCCTTCGCCGCCGTGGTCTCGTTCCGAGCCTCGTCCAGGCGACGTTCGACCTTGGACAGGTCAGCCTCATACTCAGCCATCAGCTCGTTGATGGCCGCTACAAACTGCAAAGAATGGTACGCATTAAACACTTAGTCAGAATTCGATAATATAAAGAGAGTAAGCGGAACATACCTTGGTGCCGTGCTGCGCCATCGCGCCGTAAGATCTTGGTCTCCTCAGCTTCTCAGGAGGATGAAGACGCGTGTTAGCATTATTGACACACGAGAACATCACCGCCGAGGCGTCTGGGTCGTCAACGACCAATTTGCGCGAAGCGGGATCTCCGGACGCCGGTTTGCGTTTCTTCTTAGGTGGCTCGTCTTTCTGAACAGCCACGGCTTTCCCTTTATCAGCGGCCGAACGTTTTCGGCCGGAATCATGTTTCTGAAGATGCGAAGCTGGGGGCCTCGACAACTTCGGAAGAGCCAAAATAGCAGAGTTGGAAGGAGTTTTACTCCGCGCCGCGGAAGCGTCTTTGGGCGCCTCGGGAATGATTTCACCCGGTTCCACCTCGAGTGCCCCTTCTTTCTCGTTCATCTCGGCAACGTTCGCCCCCACAGTTCGGGATGCGCCCTCACCATCATGGCTCGGCGGAACGTCTTGAGGAACAGCCTCGGCCTCCGTTTGAGCCGCCTCAGCGGCTCGTCTCGCAGCCTCTTCTTCTTCACGCCTCTTTTTATCTCTGAGAGTAATGATCACCATTTTCTCCCTTGTGTCTCCTGAGGAATTTGAAGACGAAGAGCTAACAGGAACTCCGGCAAGAATGGCTCGCGCTCTTTCCACTCTCTCAAATGTAAAATGCTTCCTCCAATTAACTTTTCGAGCCGCAAGAGAATCTCGAACAACAAAGAGATCGTCGGGAATTGGAGGAAGAATGTTCAGAACTGCAAAAACAACACGAAAACAACCAACTCAGTAAGGGAAGATTATACGAAAAACAGTTTCGAGCCGAGACAAAGCTTCGGATCGGCTACTAAGTGGTCCCCAAGCGGTCTTGGTTTTTTTTTAACGTAATCCTCGCCAACTGACGCCTCGTTCACCAAGACATAGAAAAAGCGCTCGGTTCAAAACTGATCCTTGATTAGAAAACCACCTATGATCCGGCGATTGGGGTTGTTGGAAATATAAAATCGATCTTCCTTCGGAGCTTTTCTGATTTCCAACAAGTTTAGCAGGTGATTCCGTTCAATGTCGAGCCCGCATTCAAAGCTTCGAACCAGAATGCCGATCATGTGTCGCAGACCCCTCGGCATAATCTGCCTGATCGAGATCCCATGTTTCCAGAGGTATTCAAGGATAACTCTGGGGATCGGAAACCAGAGAAAATAAAGCTCAAAGAACGCCTCGTACAGAGTAAAGTGATTCTCAGGGGGTTTGTCGGCTCGGTCATTCTTTTCTGGAAGGACGAATTCTACCGCCTCGGATATCCCGAAATGACATCTCAATGCCTCGAGTGAGTCAGGGGAGGAGAGCGTGGAACCGGGCGGGTCAGGCTTTTGTCTTTTCACTCGCTTTTGCCTCCCTTGCCCAGACGAAGAAGCACCTCGGGACGCCATGAGACACTCTAATTCGAGCTTCGCCTCGAACAGATTAAAGGGAAACGCTTCCTCCTCAGCTTTCACTGCGGCAGAATTAACATCTTCGTTATAAGCAGGACCCTGAGGGCAGCTCGTCGAAACCGACGGCTCGTTATCTGGAGAGCGAGCGCCTGACGGACTTGAGTGATTCGACGCCTCGTCGCTT